AAAGCAGAGGTATGCTAAAGCACATTTGGACAAGCCAGCTTCATTTTGGAATAAGGTGCTGTGGACTGATGAAACTAAAATTGAGTTATTTGGACATAACAAGGGGCGGTATGCATGGCGGAATTAAGCACTGATTGTCAGCGCCTGAAATACACTTTAAGGGAACATGTTACAAAGTAATTTAAAAAGTTGTTAAATAAATATGCACATTGGACCTTAAAGTAGCTATGTCAATTAAGGACAGTGTCCTCTGTCCTTTCTCATTCCTTGTTTTAGATTTTTCACAAAGTCACAGTCTAATGGTGTGTTGTTTTTGGTCAAATATTCATATACCAAAATGGTAATTTCCTGGAGTCTCATGGCAACTTTCAACTTCCTGCCTTTTTCAACAACTATAACAAACGAAATAAAATACAGGTGTCCAGGGAGGTGTTCAGATGAGCACGCCTGCACAAAGGCACTGGCGGAGGTGCATCATGCAGCAATGCCCAGCAGGCAGACCATCAGCCTGTATTTTCATATGTTCAACCTGAAGGCATCCAGTGACTACTGCGAAAGGGCAGTTGGTGTCCAGGGAAGACTGGAGGACATCCAGGAGAGACTGGATGACTGCAGGAAAGTCTGCATCGAGGGTGGCAGGCTAGTTACCTTACCCACCGGTCCCAAGCGGGACACCCTAAACAAACTACAAAGCGAAACAAAGAGAAACAACCTGAGAGGCAGGATGGAAGAAGGACCAACCTGGACGGATTTCTTGGTAACAACTGGAACGGACACAGGCAATGACTATAAGGTAATGCAAAGATGCAGGTGTGGACGGGAGAAGCTGATAACTTTCAGGGGCCTAAGGATCCACAAGGGAAAAACGTGCGGAGTGAGTGGCCAGCAGCAACATTGCACTGCATCTGCAGGTCAGACAATAGGAGCCCAAAGCCAGGTCGCTAACCACAGTGCTGAGGGTTCCAACGCTGCTGAAGGAAGGCAAGCGGAGGACACAGAAGCACCCCTGGCAGATACCTATTCCTGAGAGTAACACCAAGGAGAACACCCTCAGAACACAACAAAACCCCCATAACCAGGAACCAGGCCAGAGGACAGAGAGGGAAGAACCAGGGTGTCCAAAGCCAACGAGGTGGCAGTGTGGCAGCAGCTGGACAAAGACCTGGTTAGCATCTTAGAGCATTTGCTACGCGGCCAAGTAGAGACTAAGCTAAACTACTTTGGAGATTTCCTCTACGAGGAGTGTAGAGGTAAGTTAGGAGTAATGGCTGTAAGACAGAATGTGGGGCCAAAGCAGAAGGGAAGAAGGGAGAGGGAGATCATGCAGTTGGTGAAGAGGCGGCATCAGCTTCAAAAGCAGTGGAGGAAAGCAAGCGAACAGGAGAAGGAGGGCCTGAAACCACTGTGGGAAGAGGTGCGCAAACGCAGGAGTCGGAAGGAAAAGGAGAGGAGCAACTTCTTTAAAAACCCCATCAAGCACGCAAGACAGCTTCTAGAGGACAAGAGATGCGGGAAGCTGGTGATCACAAAATCGGAGCTGGAGGATCAGAGAGCTTTAGAGAGCAATACAGCGACCCAACAAGATCAACTCCGCTGGGTTCACCTGGTTACGTTTCTTGCCCAGCCCCCCCCTCCCCCCATCATTCCCATTCAATGCTGCTCTCCCTAAACTCAGTGAGGTCGCAGATGTCTGGAAAGCAAGAGCAGTCTCAGCCCCAGGCCCCAACGGGATACCTTACAAATTGTACAAGTATCGCCCAAAGCTCCAGAAACTTCTGTGGAACCTGATGAGGGTGGCCTGGAAGAACCAAATTATCTTCTCAAAGTGTCAAAGGGCAGGCACAGAAGGCAATATCCACCACTATCAGCCAGTTCAGGAGCACCATGCTCCTGAATGTCGAGGGAAAGATCTTTATATCCGTACTGGCCAAGAGGCTGACCAACTACTTGACTAGTGTGGATGAAATGTATTCATATG